GTCCTGGCACCATATTTGTCTCAAGTGACTCATCTTTCTGGCAGAAGATAAGATTGGATGAACCTGGGGATGTTTTGCACCTGAGTCAGCCTAGACGCACCAGATTCTTTTTTAACTATTAGGAGCTAAGGCTTGTATTAGTTTCCATAGCTGCTGGAACTATTGACCATAAACTGGTGATTTAAAACAACAGAGATTTATTCCATCATGGCCCTGGAAACCAGAAATTCAAAGTCACAGAGTAAGCAGGGATGCATTCCCTTTGGAGGTGCTGGGGGAGAACTCTTCTTTGCCTCATGCAGCTTTAGGGGCTGTTGATATTCCTTCTTTGGCCGCATCCCTCCACCTCCTTTGTATATCTGTGTCCCCACTCTTGTTCTGCCTCTGACAAGGTCATTGATTTTAGGGCCTATCTATGGTTAATTCAAGACCACTAATCTAATTATATCTGTAAGAGCTCTTTTTCCAAAGAAAGTAACATGCACAGAGTCAGTCTCTTAAGATCTAGAGGTGTCCTCTTTTTTTAAAGGGCCACTACTCAATTCTCTGTACTCAGAGACAGAGATGCAAAGTAGAGGATGGACATGTAGGGAGTGGGTTGACTCGGCAACATTTGGGTACAGGCATAGAAGAATACAGGTCTAACATGAAGGAGAAAAGTAAGGCTGATATAGAAGGAAAGACATAAATGAAGGGGATTTGAGCCCCAAGAGAGGCAGAGAGATGATTTCTGCTTTGGTTTTGTCTGACTTTCTGGTGCGAATTTTTCAGCAATTCTCTCATTTCTAGTTTGAATGGATTTCTCTGCTTTGCAACCAAGAGTCTTGATCAGACAAAATAGAACAGTGAATGCATAAGGGAGTAAGTGTCAATTTTGGCAAACCTCAGCCTTCTTCCACAGTCCTCTGTGAGTGTCGTCCCTGTGTCACAGAAGAGGGAAACACAGCACCGAGGTGAAGTGGTAAACTCTGGACAGCTAAGTGGCAGAACTTTCCACTTCCTGATCATCAGAAAAATCAGCGCTTATTCTCTCAGGATCTATTATATTCTAATTGTACCTGGCCCGATCTCTAGGTGCTTTGCAGTGACTGGTTGGTGTCTAAGGGCAAATGACCTCTTTAACCACTCTGAGATTTGAAAATGGCTCAGTCTTCACACCCACTCTGCTCACTGGCTCCATTACCTACTGACACCTTCAGAAGAATGAGGTCCTGGACCGTCTCTATCCAGTCTAAGTACAGTATTTCTCGGCATCAGGCACTTCTTGCTACAAGTAGAGAAGTTTTCATCCTTTGGTCAGTCTCTTTAGGGAAAATGTTAACAAAAATGATCCTCAAAGTATAGTTTCTAATAATGTAGTTAGATAGCCTTCAGTGAGAGGTTCAGCTCCGGCCGAGTGACTTCCTGTTGTGTTTGTTTTATCCTGGGAATGTCTCAGCCTGCCTGCCTCCAGCCTGTCTGTCTGATGCGAGGAACGTCATTATATAGTTGCGTATGGGCCCTGAGGAGTAGCGGCAGTTGTCACCAACTGCTGCTGTCCAAGGTTGCTGCGATGCCTCTGGTGATGCGGGATTATTTTAAGTCTGAGGCTGAGAGGCTGTGAGACTTTGGATAAACCACTTTCCTCCTTACAGTAGTGCGCACTTTGATCTTTAACTTTATGCATCTTCTGTTCTGTACCCTTGAAGATAAAGGCATTTCAGTCCACATTCACAGCCTGGCTCCTATTTCTTATGTAACCCTTAAGTCAAACAAGCATGTGTTGTGGGTGGCTTTTCAGAAAGCGACTTGATTTTTCTCTTCTACTCCGTCTTTAAACCTTCTCTGCTGGGAAAACTATTTCTCTTCCTGGGTAAACTCTATCTGATGACAAGACTTCTGAACCCTCCTAGGTGTCAAAACAGAGTCTCAAAACAATTACTCAAATGTTCTGTCCAAGGTTATGGTTAAAAGTTTTCTCTGAATTCAAAGTTTCAGCTTCTCTCCTATAGATGGGAAATGAAAGCATAATCACTGTCTTCTGTCTTTCCAGTCATCTTTATTTGGGCTTGTTGGTGTCCCTGCACCTGTGCCCCAAGCTAGAGCACTGTTTTCTGGTCCTTCGGTAATTGGGGCACAGGAGGCAGCAGAGGAAAAGATAGTAACAAAGTTCTTACTTGTCTGATTCTTCTGAGATTAAATAATACATTCACTTGTGGAACATTTTCTGGCATCTTGTAAAGGACACGTCTTCATCACTGGGAACCTGAACCTCCATTAAGACATGGGGTCCAGTGTGTCACTTTTTGTTTGTTCTTTGCTTTTCCTTGGCTCCCAGGACTCTAACAATATGTTCAATGTCTTAGTCTGTGCTGCTATAACAAAATATCTGAGACTGAATAATTTATGAAGAACAGAAATTTATTTCTTAAAACTCTGAAGGCTGGAAAGTCCAACATCGAGGTGCTGGCAGCTAGTGAAGGCCAGATCACTGCTTCCAAAATGGTACCTCTAGAGGGGAGGAATGCTGCCTCCCTGCATGGTAGAAGGTGGAAAGGTGAGAAGGGCTACGTGTCTTCCTCATGTCATCCTTTAAAAGGATGCCTACTTTTCTTAAGAGGAAAGAGCTCTCTAACCTAATCACCTCTTAAAAGCCCTTCCTTGGATCTAAGATTTAAACATGTGAATTTGGGAGTGGACACATTGCTTGGCTTCGCTTTGCTAAGGTTTCTGTGTCCCACCAGATTTCTTTCTTGAAAAGGACCTGAAACTGGCCCTTGCACAGTCTCTCGAGTGGCTCACATCTGTGCTCCATAGAACACTCCCACATTTCTCACCCAGATAAATACTAAAGGAATAAGGGTGGGTGGTTCCTAATGAGGCAGTTCTGCTGCTTGCTGACCAGTGGGCTCTTTCCTTGCCTTTTAACCTTTCCAGGTGGGATTCAGACAAGACTTCACTGAGCATCCTGAACTGTGGTGTCACATTCCAAACTCACCCAGTGGCCTCCAGAAAGCCTTTTTCTTTTGTTTGGACATTGGGAGGAAGGGCTCACAGCTCTCCTTTAAGAAATCTTCCCTGGAAATCCTCCCTAATCACTTACTCTGGATCCTTTCATCTGTTCAGTATGGGAAACGGTTGACTAATTTACTTCCCTTGAAATTCTTGGTATATTTCCTCTATTTCAAAATTTCTATTTCAGTTAAAATGTTTAATTTAACAACTATAGCAAGATTTCATTTGTTTATTCAACTAATATTAAGCTTCCAATAGACTGGTACTGCCCAATAGAAATATAAGGCAAAGTACATATGTAATTTAACATCTCTTAGAAACCATATTAAAAAGAAGGAAACAAGTGAAATCAGTTTTACTAGTTGATCTTATTTAACCTAATATATCTGAAACATCATAATTTCTGTATGAAACATTATTTAGCAATTAGTAATGAAAGATTTTTAAAATTTACTATAAATCTCTGAAATGCAGTTTATATTTACGCCACATTCCAGTTGGGACCAGCCACATATCAAGAACTCAATGTAGTAGACAATTCAGCAGTGGACTGTACATTCTATAAACATCTGTTCTACTGACATCTGTCTTGTTGATTGATATATACAAAAGTGCTTGGCATATAGAAGTACTAAGTATTTATTTAATTGAACTGAAATACAATTGAAATAATAAATTGTCAAGGGGATCATTGACCAGCTTCCGACAGCACTTCTAGTCTAAGTGATTCATTGCTGCACAGAATTCGTTTGGCAACATAGTTTGTGTTTCATTTATTCCACAGTATTTAAGTTCCCTGCAAGAGGTGGTGCCATTGTCTTGTTCAGCTCTACATTCTTAAAATCATGCCCAGTTCTTGGTATTGTGACGTGAAGATTCGTGAAGTCAACAAGATTCAGGGCCCACCCAGTGTTAGTTGGTTTTGTAGATACTGGGACACAAATAGCATAATCTCTTCTGTTAGAGATCACAGATAATAAAAAGTAAAGAGGGATATGGAGGACATAAAGAAGGTGGCATGATGGGTTATGAAGGGGGCTGGGGGAGTACAGAGGAGGAGTTAGTCTCATAAAGGGCAGGGGAAGGGCTGCGGACTGTGTCTTAACCACAGCTCTCTATTTTCTCTCTGTTGCAGCCACCTTAACCTTTCATTTTTTCAAAAACCCCAAGCCCATTACTGTCTTTACCCCTTTCCTTCACCTTTCTCTCTCTCTCTGTCTCTCTGTCTCTCTCTCTCTCTCTCTCTCTCCCCTACAGCTAGTGCCTTCTCATGTCCCAGCTTGTACAGCATCCCCTCAAGAGGGCCATTCCTGGCTACTCTCTGCAGGGCTCATCACCCTCAACACGCTGTCATGACTACTTTTTACTATGTCATCCGTGATCTTGTGTATGCATTGACTCCCACATCAGAAGTAAAGCTCTAAGGCATGAGTCACTGTCCTTTAACGGTTGCAATCATTCAGTTCCATGACTCATAATTGTGATTAATAGTTATTTATTAAATCTATGAATGAATTAAGGTCAAGAGTTTAAAGTCTTTGGAAGGCATCTGAAGACATAATTTGGGTTTCTGAGCAGGAAAACTGGGTTAATGTGTATGAAAGTTATTCTCTTAGTCTTAGGCACCTGGCAACCTAAGTTTTGTTTTCCAATTGCTTTGAAAATCTTACCGGGATAAATAGACACAACCTTTTGAATGTAATTTGGTGAGGGGTGATTTGGGAAACCCCCAGATGAGGTTCAAAGATCCCCAGCTTAAAAACTAGAAACTGAGACACCCCATACCAAAAGTAGAGGTAAGTGTTCAAAGAGATAACGCACAAAGCTCCTTTAAAGAACTAGGGCAAGTGGCTAGTGGCTTTGGGGAGAGAGGTTATGGCGTGAACCCCCATCCCCGGAAAGCAATTATCTTTGCTGGATACAGCGTGCCGGGCCGTTGCTAAGGACGCTCACTTTGTCCAATCGTTGAGCGTTTTACTAGGCTGTGCAGCACTCCGCGGTTGCTCTGGCAACGGACGGCAACAGCTCCAGACTCCAGCGGCGCAGACCGAAAGCTGGCGGCCTGGAGCAGGGTAGGGAGCCGCTCGGCAGTGGCATCTATGAGTCGGACGCGGCGTCTCGGCAGGGAACTCGGTGTGGAGTTGACATGGGATCTGAGAAGTACCGGGGTCAGAGGTCCTCGCAGATCCTGGAGTCAGAGTGCGGGGGTCAAAGGGTGTGTCAGGGTTGTCAGTTCGCCTTCCCCACCCCTCCCTTGGCTTGTTCTCTCACCCCTATTAAAGTTGCTGGAACTCACACTGATTTTGGTTCTTGGGATTCTCCAGCCAGGCAGGTAGCAAGGGGCAGGCGTCCTGCCAGGAGAGAAAGCCTGGGGATGGTCTCTCTTCTAACTTGGAATTACCCGAGGCCTCGGGTGAAGTCATTTTTCATCGTTCCTTACCAGGAAAATGGGGAATCACTCCATTTTCTTAAGATGGGGTGAGGATCAAACGCCTGACCAGCCAGCACCTCTTCAGATGTACTTATCTATACGCTCACCTTGCATAGCCCGCCGGCCCCGTCCAGTGACCATATAGACGGCCAGCTGCCTTTCTAGTTGCTCGGTTTGGCCTCAGAAAGTGCCGCATGGTCAGGTTAAGGAGTGGTCTTCTGTAGCCGCAGACTCTGTACAGGCCGCAGGGTCCTGTCCTCCAGGAGGCCGGCCTGCTCGTCTGGGGTTCTTTGCTCCCTGCCTCTCTTGTGGTTTGACCTTTTCATTTTGGAATACTACACCCAGTGTATTTCATCTGATCATTCTTTCCCATTCTCCTTCACTCCTTAAAGCGATTGCAAGACAAGACTGTTCTCGTTGATGAATTTATACCGTGGTTCATCTTTGACTCTATGTTAAGTTTAGAAATAAGAGCTGAACTAAGGTCGAAGTTGAACACAGTAAAAAGTACCCAGAAGGATAAACCAGCAGCAATTTAATTCAGAAACTTAACCGTTGGAGAGCTTTAGTTGTGAGAATACCTAAGAAAATTTCACAAAATTCTAATTCATAGACCTTGCTCATTTGTCTCAAGTTAGTAGGAAGGTCTATTGATACATATCGATCGGTTGCATTGTGTCTTTGTTCCTCTAAATTTTTCTGTGGCGCTGATTTCTGCTTCACCGTCTTCCTTGGGAATGTTGAGGAGACTGTTCCCATGCATGTGGCTACCTGGGCGGACGCTGCTGGCAGCACCCGTGCCTTCTTCCCGTGGTTTTCTCCAGTCTGCACAAGTGTTCCACCCCAAACTCACCAGTGTAGTCAGGATCACCTCACCTCATTCTTCCCCTAAGCTCCCTGATTGGAACAGCAAAGAGAATCACCTACTTAAGAGGCTGATTTTCTGTCTTCTGACTCAGCTGAGTATGAATGGAGTTAAAATTTCATCTTCCCTATCTATGCAAAATAACAACCTTAGTTATGTTCCTACCAATTTGTTTTGAAAACCTATATTATTGTTTTGGGTTCTTTGCTGTTGTCATTTGTCTCTTTTGTTTCTTGGTTTTCTTGTAATTTTTTTGTTTGGTTTTGTTTTTCACTCTAACACAGGAAGGATAGATGTATATAGATAGGCTTATACATGCCTAGAACATCTAAAAAGTTTACAAGAATTGATTTTATTATGTGTGATAGTATGAACAGCTACTTTGAAGAAAATGAGACTTTATGGTAGCCATTGCTGATTTCCTGTCATCTTGTTGTGAAGTCCAGTAATCCTTTTATTCTTTGTTTTGATTGGGTTTAGTGTTTTTTGAATCATTTAATTTCAATATGCATGAAATTATGGACAGCTATTTTGAAGAGAACAAGAGATATTATAGTATCCATTGTTGATTTTTCCTATTGTTTGGTTTAGAAGACCTTAATGCTTTCATTTTTGTTTTGATCGGTTTTATACTATTTTGTCTTGTTTAAATTCATTGTGTGTGAAGGTATGGACAACTATTTCAAAGAAAACAAGAGACATTATGGTAGCCACTGTTGATTTCCTGTTGTCGTGTATTGAAATCCTGTGTTACTTGCATTGTTTTGTTTTGATCTGCTTTGTTCTGTTTTAGTCTCTTTAATAAAAAAATTTTAAATTTCATCTTCCCAGGCCGGGGATTTAGCTCAATGGCATAAGCACCTTCCCAGCAAGTGTGAGGTCCTGAGTTTGATCCCAGGTACAAAAGAAAAAAAAAAGAAAAAAAGAAATGTCATCCTCCCTATTTGTGCAACTCTGTGAGGTCTTACTTTTCCCCAAAGTAGCGATTGTACCTCCCCTGGAAACTCACCAACACTTGATCCTTTCACTTTTTAGAAAGTGTTTTTCTGATGGGAAAATAATGATTATCACTTTGATATAATTTGTATTTCCCTGATAACTAGTTAGTTATGATTGTTATCTTAGTCACTTTTTCTTGTCGCTGGGATAAAATATTCAACACCCACAAGTTAAAGGAAGGAAGGTTTATTTCAGCTTGGAGTTTGTAGATGTCCACCGTTGCTGGCTCCAAGGCAAGGTGGCACAGCAGAGGGGCATCACAGGGGAGAGCAGTTCATGATGTGGCAGGCAGGAAGGCAGGGAAACAGCAGGCAGCGGCAGGCCTGCCTTCTCTCCATCCAGGCTACAAGCCTATTGTGTGTGCCACCCACGTGGGTGGGGAGGGGGCTTTCCATTATCCACACCTTTAATCCTTCGTCAGAAGTCAGATTATTTGTTGATACTTTGTTATGTTGAGGTATATTAATATTTTTTTCTCGGTGTACTCTTAAAGGCAGATTTATTGACATGATTTACATAGAGTAAAATTGACCAGTTTTAGTTGTACAGTCCCATGCACTGGTTTTGAAAATATGTCAGGTAACCACCACTGTAGAATGATTCTACCAGCTCAAAAAATCCTCTTATTCTTGGAGATTGTCTTTCCTCTTTCCTTACCTCCAGCCCATGACAACAAATAATCTGACCTCATTCTTTGTTTTCTAGAATGTCATGTAAGTGAAATCATAAAATATATAACACTTTTTGTCTGGCATGTTTTATTTAGCGAGTTGCTTCTGAGCTATATCTTTGTGGCCGTACATAACAATAGTTTATTCCTTTTTATTGCTCAGTACTGTTCCATTGAATGGATGTACCACTTGATGACAGACATTTGGGTTGCTTTAAGTGATGAATTTGATGGCGATGAATAATTAAATCTGATGCATTCATGTACAGGTCTTTGTATCTTATTAAATTTTTGATAAATAACTGAGTAAAATTGCTAGATTACATGGTAAATGTATGTTTAACTTTATAAGATACTGTCAGACTGATTTCAAAAGGGATTGTACCTTTTTCAGTTTCCATGAGCATCGTATGAAAGTCTCACTTATTCTACAACCTTGCCAGTAGGTGATGATATTGTTCATTTTAGCTATTATCCTAGGAGTATAATGATGTATTAATTGCACATTTTAATTTGCATTTCCCTAATGATTAATGACATTGAACAGCATGTGTATATTTGTTAGTATATCTTTGGTGAATAAGTCTAGTGAATTTCATAAAGTTCCTGTTTTTATCTTTTGTCTGTATTTTGCTCAGTTATTTAGTGTCTGTTCTTATGTTTTATCTGTATATTATTCAGCTATTTAGTTATGTTCATATCTATCTGTCTGCTAATTATATATAATTAGAATATTTTTCAAGAATCTATGTTTGTCTAGAAATATATACATGTATTCTATAAGTATATACATATATTTATGGTGAGTTTTGAATTCAGGTAGTTTAAGTCCTACCTTGTTTTTATTTTTCAAAGATGATTTATCTATTCTGGATCTTTTACCTTTTCATGTGAATTTTAGAGTTAAATTGTTGCTGCCTATAAAAAGTCCTGCTGGGACTTTGGCTGGATTTCATGATCAGTAGGTTAGGGAGAATCAAAATCTCAGCAATGTTGACTCTTCCAACATAGCCTTTGATATCTGTATTGATACCTGTATTTCATAACTTACAATTTTAGTTTTTATAAATTAAAGTAAAACACAATATTTACTGCTTAATTCAGTCAATGTTAGTTTCTCCCTACTCAGATAGTTACTGTTTTCCATCCTCTTGGTTCTTTTCTGTGTCTCAGTTTTTCCATTTGGAATCACATGTCTGCTACTTGAAATGCATCTTTAGAATTCTGTTAGTTAAAATGTGCCACCTGCAGTCTCCTCTCTCTGAAAATTATTTTTTCCTTCTTCCCAGAACAAAATATATTTACTGGCTTAATATTAAGATTACCAGCATGCTGACAATTTCTCTTTCCTTTTCCTTATTCTTTAGGAAGCCAGCCATCTAACACTTGTTACTTTGGAAATGCTGTCTGGCACCCACGTCTCTCTTCTTTCAGGATTTTTCTTGCTCTTTGATGTTTCACAATTTTTTAGTTGGATAGATACTTATTTTTATAGAATTTATATATTGCTCTCTACCAAATATGGAAAATAAAACTATTATCTCTTAATGTAAAATTCTTACTATTTCCCCTCTAAGCACTGCCTTAGCTGTACCATACACGTTTCAAAATACTATATTTTTATATTCCTCCAATGCATTATATTTTCTAATTGCTCCTGTAACTTCCTGTTTTCCTAATGAATTATTTAGCAGTGTGCTTTTTAAACTCCAAATGTTAGGGTTTCCCAAATATTTTTTGTTTTTGATGTTTGATTCCATTATGACCAGCAAAGATACTTTATATGGTTTCAGTTCTTTTAAGATTTGTGATTGTTTTATGGTTCAAGAAATGGTCACTTTTTAAAACCTAATGATCGCTTTCCATATTTCTTTTGGTGTGGGTTTGTTGGCAACAAATTCTTTCAACTTCTGTTCATTTGAGAAACACTTTATTTTGTCTTCATTTTTAAATGACATTTTCACTAGAGAAATTTAAGTAAATGTTTGCCCCTTTCAGAAGTCTAAGGCTTTCATAGTTTACATTGCAAGTCAGCTATAAATCTAATGGAAAGAAATGTTTTTTTTCTGTGACTGATTTTAGGATTTTACCTTTTCCTTCAGTTTCT